CAGGCGCGGGCAGGGCGCGGGGGCTGAGGCCTCGCGGCGCCTCGGCTGCACCTGCGCCCTGCGCTGGGCGACACGTCGCAGGGCATCCGCGGGCGACTCGGCCGAGGCGGGGCGGCGCCTCATGGGCGAAGGGCGCGAGCTGGAGGCGCCAGCAGCCGCCACCGCTGCCAGGGCCGCCGCCGTGGCGAGGAGGGGGCGGCCATCAGCCGCCGAGGCCTGCGCCTCGGCGTAGCCACCGCAAAGCTCCGCGTCGATCTCCTTCACGTTGCCATCGCCATACAGCGCGACGTGCTCCGCGTCGCGTGGCGCCTGGCGAACCTGCCGCGGGCGGCGCGCCAAGGGGGCAGCTCGGGGCGGCAGGCTGCTGTCTGCAGGCCGCGGCGGCTGCCCAGGGCCTCCGCCAGCGGCGTGCCCGACAGCGGCGGCTGCCTCGCGGCCCTCGGGGAGCTCGATGGGCCCCGAGCTGCCGCTGCCGCGCGCCAGCGCCGCGCCGTCAGGAGCAGCCAGCAGCGCGTCCAGCTCCGCGATGCCAGCCGCGCGCACCTCCACGTCGTGCTTCTTCCCGAACTGGCCGCGCCCCTGGGACAGCGACTTCGGTGGGCTGAATCCACCTGTCCCAGGGGCGGGCTCCGCCGCGGCGGCGAACAGGGGGTCGGCCTCGCCGTCGAGCTCCGCCGCAATGTAGGGGGTGAGGTCCCGCAAGCCCGACTCCGTGACCTGGACCTCGAACTCGGCGGCGAAGCGCGCCGCGTAGCGGGTGCGGGCCTGGCAGCCCTGGAGCAGGCGGGCCTCCTCGTCGGCGATGGCGTGCATCGCCGCGCCCGCCTTCGCGAGCTGGCCCACGAGGCGGTTGCCGAAGGGCTCCACCTCCATGAGGTCGCCCCGCTCGATGGCCGCCCGCGAACGGGAGGGGATGAGCTTCAGGGCAAACGGCGCCGCACCCCTCGCCTGCACCACCCACTCGCCAACGGTCGTGAGAACCGCCACCGACCAGACCGCGCCCCTGATCATCAGGTCGTTGTTGACGCAGGGGCCGTCCGTGAAGACGAGGGTGCCCGCGGGCACCACGAGTGCGCCCGCGTCCCAGCCGCGCGAGCGGCGCTCCCCGCCAGGGTCACAGCGCGGCCTCTGCACCTGGTACTGGGCGCCGACGAAGAGGTCCTGGCAGAAGAGCTCCTCGTAGCGGTGGCCCATCAAGATCACCAACTCGGCAGTTCGCTTGAAACGGTCGTGGTCGGTCCGCGCGTAGAACTTGCCGTCGAGATAGACTGAGGCCGCCCCAAAGCCAAGCTGGCGGGCGAGCGCGAGCCCCAGGTTGTGTGGGTAGACCGCCATGTCACAGCTGTTCGCATCCTTGCCCCAGACCAAAGTGGGCTGGTGGTCCTTCTCCCACTTGACACCGTAGCGGCGGCGCACCCTGCACCAGATGCGCAACCACTTGCCCATGAGGCCGATCGGGCGGCGGCCTCCGTCTGGCTTCCCCAGGAAGAGGAACCCCGTGGCGAAGAGGGCCGTGGGCTGCGGCTGCAACACCCAAGCCGTGAGCACCTCTGCCATCATATCGGCGAAGGGCCTGCCCTGGGAGAGGACCAGCCGCGGGTGGAACGCATCCCAGCCCAGAGCGGTCTGCTTCGGGAGCGACTTCGCCGCCTCGAGGCTGTCGCCCACCGTGAACGGGGGCGGCACCATGGAGCAGATCCAATCGGCTGGTCTGGTCCTGTGCTCCCTATCGGCTCCTTTCCAGAGGGCCTTGCACTCTATGCGGATCTGGTTCTGGGCTTGCTGGACTACAACGGGGAGCGTCAGCCAGTCGGGGCAGTGCGCGATCACCGAGTCCAGCACCTGATCGCGGTCCTGTATGACATCGTGGGCTCCTTTCGCCCCCTTCGCCGAGGCCACGTCCACGTAGTCCATCCAGCGCAGCCTGGCCGCCTTGGCTTCTTCTTTGCAGAGTCTCGCCGCCGCGCTCTCGATCATCTGCAGGAAGGCCTGCCCTTGCACAGAGGGCTCTTGGATCACCACAGTCAGCGAGTCCAGCTTAGTGCCTTCCAACATGGGGCAGCCCGCCCGCTCGAACTTGGGCCCCAAGCTCTTGGCCACCTGCACCAGGTGCTTCATGTAGCCCCCGTGCCCCTCAGGGGGTGAGCTGACGGCAGCAGCCGCACTGAGCTGCCTGGCGATCCTCCCGAGGCAGCGCCAGCACTTGGTGAGGGGGCTAAGCTTCCTGACAGCCTCCGTGCGCTGCAGCTTGGCCAGCTGGAGGGGCTTGGCCTGCGGTCGCCCTGGCTGGGGCTGGGCTGCAGGCTTCGCGGCTGCCGCGGCGCCCGCGCGGCCGCCAGGCGGGCGGCTGCCCGCCGCCTTGGGGCTCCGAACCTCAGGGGGTCTCACGCCCTCGCCCTTAGCCTCGCCAACTTGAATTGGGTACCCACTATTCCGTGTGGGCCCCTGGCTGGGCTGAGGACTGCCAGTCCTTCGGTCGGGCCCATCCAAGTCCGCCGCAGCGCTTGGCTCTGTCCTGCTACAGAGCGCCTTGAACTTGGAACCATGGCGCGCGTCGTCGGAGCGACGGTCCTGGCGCAGCAGCGGCTCAGTGAAGGGAAGCCCTTCCCCAGCGTCGGCCTCGACGTTGGCCGCCAGGTAGGCGTGCATGCCGCCGCTCGGCGCCGCCTTCGCCGCGGGGCGGCAGGGCGCCGCCGCCTCTGCCTCCTCAGCCCCGTCTGGGACGGGCGGCGCCGCGCTTGCGGGGCCGCCGCCTGGCAGCAGGGTGCTACCCGCGGGCCTGGCCGCTGCCAGCAGCAGCGCCAGCAGCAGGTGGAGGGGCCGCCGCAGCAGCCTTTTGGTCGGCAGCGCGCTGTCGGGCCGCCTCGTCTGCCGCTCGGCTCTCCACGGCGGCCGCTGGGGGGGGGCCTGCACCAGGCGCAGCGCCTGCTGCTGGGGCGGCGGCAGCAGCAGGGGCGGCCGCCTGTCCTGCTGGCTGCGGCGGGGCGGCCGCGCCCCGCACGGGGGTGCCAGCGGCCACGGCTGCTGCAGGCCCCTCCTCGGTGCGCTTGCGCTTCTTGGCCACCTCCTCCTCGATCTGGCGCTTGATGCGCTGCTGGTGCTCCTGGCAGTTGCGCTCGAACGTAGCCTGCGCCCCCTGCATGATCTGGAGCCCCTCGTCACAGAGGCGCCTGAGGGTGGCCTGCGCCTCCTCCTCCAGCTCCGCGAAGTTCTCGAATGACTCCGCGTCGAAGTTGAAGGTGGGCTGCCTCGCTCCATCGGGCTGGGCGCCCACGACACCAGCCGCTTGGGCTCGCTGGCGGAGGAGGGCGTTCTCCTCCTCTTTGGCCTCTGCGAGGTTGACCGCCTCCTCGTCGCGCCAGCCTCGGCACAGAGCGAGGTGGTCCTCCGCCGCCACGAGCGCGTCCGCCGCCTCGTCGAGCTGGCGCTGGAGGTGGATCCGCTTCGCCGTGGCCGACTGCAGCCTCTGCTCGAGCGGCTTCGGAGCTGGGGCGACCGCGGGCGCGACGCAGCCCCGCGCGTCACGGACTGCCTCCTGCAGCCTGGCCGCGATGGCGGGGTCCCCGCAGGCGAGGAGCGCTTCGAGCTCGCTCTCGGGGGGGGCCGACCAGGGGGCCTTCGGGAAGGCGCCTCCGCCACGGCCACCCGCGCCCCCGCCGCCGCCACGGGAGGCTGCACCACCACCGCCGCCACGGGAGGCTCCTCCACGGCCCTTGCCGCCCTTGCCGCCCTTGGCGCCATTCTTCGGTGGGCCTCCGCTGCCGCCTCCTCGCAGTGCGGGTTGGGAGCCGCCGCCGCCGTCGTCCGCCCAGACCCCGACGCGGGGCGAAGGCTTCGAGGGCGCCAGCTCCAGCCCGATCCCGCACAGCCAGCACTTCGCATTCCTGCGGAAGTTCCAGCGGAAACGGCAGCCCGTGCACACGACGAAGCCAGGCTCGGCCTTCGGCCCCATCGCTGGAACGGGCGGGCGCGCTGCTCAGCCGCGGGCGTGCAGCAGGCAGGTGCCGACGGGGGCGGACCCGCCGACACAGAAGAAGCCGTGACCCGCAGGTCCAGGGTGCTGCAGTGGCAGCTCACACTAGTTGGAAAGGAAGGTGGCCTCAAAGCAGAACCTCCCTCGCGCTTAGTCGCCCCGAAAGACTCGCGGTCGTCGGGACGGTTCATTGCCTTGAGCCAAAATGGCTTGAGCCAAAATGGCTACGGACGGTGAAGGCATTGGATAAGGAAACATTGGATAGGGAATCAAGGGTCTGGAAGCCAGCGGGCATCCAATCGCGGCTTGGCAGTGGATATTACCACCGCCCTCATCAGATAAGGAACCCTTCAGGGTCTGAAGCCTCCCGTGCACGTTCCTTATTCACCGCCCCCACCGTAGAGGAAGACACATCTGCACAGTTCGGAGCCAGCTACTTGGGAGGTCTTCGTCGGAAGGACGAAAGGGTACTCACAGCCCCATTGGGGGGCTACTGCGCCGGATTCGGCCGCGGGTTGAGCGGGATTGCGCCGGACTCGGGAGGATTAATAAGCAGAACTGGATTTAGCTGGACTCCGGACCAGGGCAAGGTCAGGCCTTTGCCTCTCAGGAGCTGCATCCCGACACAAAACGCGCAGACTTCCGGAGCCCCGCGAGCATCTCTTAGACGTGCGCGGGGCTCCCCCTGCCCGGCGCGCGTGCCGGGGGTCGGCGCTGGAGGCGCCGCTGCGGGGGGGGAATCATGCAGCGCCGAGCGCCGAGAAGTCCGCGCGGGCTTCCGAGGAGTTATGTTCACGCTGTGCCATTCTTCTGCCTCGAGGGGGGGGCATCACCATCCATTACCAGCCTCGAACGTATCCCTACCCCTAGGATTGACACGCCGAAGGGCGATGACAATCTTAGGGATCCGCCCTCAAACAACAATAAGGGAACCCCCGAGATTGGCATCGTGATGAGGAGGGGCCCAGCATAGAGGTAGGGATATGGTCCAGGCTGGTAAATCCGGCCAGCGCGCAGGGGGCGCGGCCTCGTCTGCAGAGTCGGGCTGGTCTGCTGCACGACCTGGCGGGAGGGGCCGTGCGCGAGAGAGAGAGGCGGCGGGCGGAGCCGAGGGGGGGCGGACAACAGGACGGGCCAGGGCAGGAGGAAGCCGCGCCTGCACGGCACAGCGGCACACCTATTGGCATGAGAACGGAGGCCAGGACACGGGCAAGGCCTTGTGCTGAATGCACGCGTGCGGGGTCATAGCCACTGTAATGCGGGATGACGATCAGTGAGAAATGGGAGAGAGCGATACACAAAAACATAGTTTTCTGCGATTTCTGCATCATTTTCTGGCTGGAGGAGAACGGTAAAGAAAATAGTTGTCCAGCCCGCGGCCGGTTGTTTCTAATCGTCATCCCGGGCGCCGCCGCGTGAACACGACCCCCGGTCATTTATTAATCGTCATCCTCCATTACGCAGACCAATGGTGGGCGGCGGGTACCACCACACGCGCACACTCGCACATCGCACTCGCGGTGCAGGCCGTCAAAGGCTGGGGCGCGGTCAAGACTGAAAGTACGGAGGCGCGATGGGGACGCAAGCCCCTGGGACGCCCATGTGGAAGCTGTCCGAGAGGGGCTGGCCATCAGAAGGGGCCCAGGATGGACCGAGGAAGCAAGGATGCAAGGGGGCTGTGGCAGGGTTGCTCCTCCTTGCGGTCGATCTCGCTTGAGAAACAGAGAATCAAGGATGAGTGCACCATCCTGCGAAGAGCGGCACCTCTGCCAGGTCCTGCCCCTGCCCCGGGAAGGGGCAAGGGCTCAGCAAGATGGCTTCAATCCCATTCTGTTATCTGGTTGCCGTAGGGATCCGGAGACCTGGAGGGGGAGGAGGAGACGGAGAGGGAAAGGAGGGATGAAGGCACAAATTTCCCGCGACCGCGGCCCCCACGAACGACTCGCGACGAGAATGCGCGCCTAGACGACCGTGCATTTGAAGTGAACTGTGCGGCGCTATCTTACTGATGCCTCCGCTTCCTGGATCGCGCGTCGGGCCACCCCTGGTGGTGGCTTGCCGCCGTTGAAACAAACGCCTCACGCCCTTCGAGCTCGGAGACAGGAAGGAGGAACGACGGCAGGAAGTGGAACGTGTGCTGAGAAGAGGTGGAGAGGGCAGGAGGAGGGGCAGGGCCAGAGAAAAGGGTAGGCGACCCACGTAGGAAGTGAGGAACGGCGAAACGACAGCTGCCGTAGATCTGCGAGGATTTCTTGGATCTTCGCTGGACCCCCTCCCTGGCAGGAGCCTCCCTGGCGCTTGGAGCGCGCCATGGGGTGTGGGGTGCTGGAGCTGGCTATCGCTCGGACGTCCATTCCCTGTGTTTTTGCTCGGTGTCGCGCGCTGTTTTTCGCCAAAAGATTACGGATGCTCCTCGATGGTCCTCGCCGGAAGAAAAAATGCACACGTCCGAGCGATGCCAAGGGAAGTGCCGACAAGGGGGGGGCAGCGCCGATCCAAGAAATATCCGTGCGGAGATCCGCAACATGTACTTGTCTGCTTCTTCTCCGGCAAGAGCGGAAAGCGGCAGCGGGAGAGGACTGCACAGCACTGGCCGCACGCCGTCCGGTGCGCAGGCGGGCCAAGTATGACTCCAAGCGTTCACAGCCACTGCTACTGCTCAGCAGGGCAGTAGTTAGTAGTAGGAGGAGGAGGAGGAGGAGGTGGAGGAGGAAAAAAGAGGAGGAGCGGGAGAGGAGAGCGGCTGAAAGGCGAAGGAAGGCACGAAGGGACCAGGGACCCATGAGCCCACGGAGATGGAACAATACTCATCTGCACGAGGGTCAGTTCTCCAGTCCGCACCCCTGCGCTACATGTGAGCGACGAACAAAAGACAGGTCTTACACCAGATAGCACAGCGACCTTACGCCGCCGATTATGCGGGCCGCCAGCGCGGAACGCTACGCTGGAGCCGAGACCGCTTACGTTCGATCTTACGCGGGGATTTTACGCGTCAGTGTCGGGGCAGAGGAGCCCGTGAGCTTGCGTCGCTAATGCTGCCAGTCCAGTCGGTCGCCTCATCGGGGAGAAAGAGGCGTCACAATACAGCCATACAGCAGCTACATGCTGACTGTGCTGCAGGCACCGCCCGCATGATGCTTCGTGTTTGGACGCGACGTGTAAGCAAGATTATGAGCACGCATGGGTACAGTAGCACACAAGGAACGCGTGCGCTTCCCAATTTCCGAAGCCGATGGCCAGCTGGAGATAGCTGACCTCCGCCTCACCATGGGAGCTGCAACTCCGTGGCGCTTCCGAGGCCATGACCCCGCCGAGCCGAGGGAGAACGCGGTTATCCTCGGCCCCATCTCGAGCGGACAAGCAGCTCTGACACGTGCGGGTGACCACTCACCTTGTTCAAAGCGAGTGGTCGTTCATCGAATCCAGGAGTGTATTGGCTCGACCACGCGCCCTCATTCCACACGGCGGCAACATTGAGCGACTGCGCTCCAGCACGTCATCGCCTGGACCCGCGCCCCCCCCCCGAACCCCTGCCGCGGGATATGCACGAGAGGTCTCCGACCCACGATGCGGCAACATCTCCCGCCGAATGGTGGTACAATGTGGATCTCTGGAAACCCGCAGGTCTGAGGGATGCATCGGGAGTCGCGTCGGCCTCAGCGCGCCCCAGGAAGCTCCGAGAGCATGCAAGAACTGGGGAAGCCGAAAGGCACTGAGACCGCTACTCCCTGGACCTCTCCCAGGGTGCGTCCTGACCAGATCTTCGAGGCGAATCCAGCGGTGGCGACGAGGGCCTCCGAGGAGGCCCATAAAGGGAGAACGAGGGAAGGGTAGCGGTATGGGCACCTTCTCCTCCTCCGAGGAACGCTACAGAGCGATATATTCGGCGGTGGACAAGCCCCCCTTCAATGAAGGCGGCCTGGGACCGAAACCGACGGACCTGGACCCGCAGGAATGACGGCCGCGACGCCCTCCCGCGAACCGAGAACGACCGATTCGCTCATCGACGTGTCAGGGCAGGCGGTCTGTCCAGCCCCGACGTGTCCCTCAACCTGACCATCCCTCGCCGTCGCTCGGACGTCCATCTCCCGTGCATTTGTTCGGTGTCGCGCGTGCTTTTTTTATTGTTTTGCTCGTTGGTCGAGGATGGTACTCGATGGTCCTCGCCGCGAAAAAGATGCACACGTCCAAGCGACGCCAGGATCCAGCAAGGCTCGGGGCACCGCCCGGGCAGCAGAGCCTGCCGCGGGGCCTCTCACCGCGCGCAGTGGCGGCGCTCCGCGGGCCTTCACCCGGATCAGCGGGTAGGTGAGCGACAGCGTCAGCACCTTCGACAGCGCGGCCACGGCGCCGACCTGCGCGCCCGCGGGCCCTCTCCGGGGGCCACGGCCGCGGCCACGACGACGACGACGACGACGACGACGACGACGACGACGACGGCGACGACGACGGCGACGACGACGACGACGACCGACGACGACGACCGACGACCGACGACCGACGACGGCCGACGACGACGACGACGACGACGACGACGACGACGACGACCGACGACCGACGACGGCCGACGGCCGACGACGCCGACGACGACGAGGCGCCGAGCGGCGCGCGGCGGGGGGCCGCGGCGGGCGCGGCGCGTGGCCTCCGCGGCGAGCGGCCGAGGGGGAGCGAAAGGCATCTGGCTGCCGGTCGCCGCGCCGCGGCGCCGCGGCCCCCGCGGCACGACGGGGCCCTGCAGGCGCAGGACGTGCCGCTCGGCGTCGTGGGACGCCGAGGTCCGCCGAGGGCTTCCGAGGTCCGCCGAGGTCCGCCGAGGGCCGCCGAGGGCCGCCGAGGGCCGCCGAGGGCTTCCGAGGGGCGCCGAGGGGCGCCGAGGGCTGCCGAGGGGCGCCGAGGGGCGCCGAGGGCCGCTGGGCGCCGAGGGCCTCTGGGCCGCGGGGCGGAACCTCAACGGTGCTCAATCAGAAGGCCTCGTGCCACGCCAGCTCGAGCCGCTCGAGGAGAGCCTCCGCGCGCTCCTCGGCCGCAGCTGCACTCGCCCTGCCTCGCTCGGCCCACGGTCCGTTCCGAGTCCGACCTGCCCCTGGCCGTGCTCCCCGTACAGTCGGGGCGTTGACCTAAGGAACCCTAAATAAGGAACGAGGCCTCTTTTCCAGAAGTCAAACTTCGACTTCCCATCGAAAACGTAAGGAAAACCTGAGGCAAGCTGTGAAACAATCAAGGAACACCGAGCCCCTCCCCAACGAAAAGGGTTCCTTCTTCAGCGCCTCGACTGTACCCGGAGATGTCCAGCCGGGCGCTCCTGCCACCGCCGCCCTTCCTCTGCTGGTGGTGAACGGTGTTCTTCGGTTGCGTCTTGTTTTCGTTTTCCCTCGCTCTTGTCTTCAATCCGCCTTTCACGCGAAACGAAATCGAAGCGAAAACGGCCCACGAACTCGCCACAACACCGTTTAGGTCCACCCCCGGGACGTGGGTGCTGGGGAAGGAGGAGAGGATCGTGAGGATGGCGGAAGGAGGGGGGAGAGAGATTTGATTACACAGGGCACGGGGACAGTTGTTCAGCAATCTCGGCCTCCGGGAGTTCGCCATGCCAGCTGTCGACCGCCCCTCCCGCCCATGACACCGCACGGGATCTTCCCTGGAGACCCCACGTGGGCCCACGTGGGTGCCGGTAGAGGCCTCCTAGATTTAGGTCGGGCATGTCCTCCTACAGGCGGGTTTTCACAGGAGCCTTAAATTCTACATCAAATGCTCAAAATTAAGACTATTCCTCCTGTAGAGGGACGTGCCCGACTTCATCCTAGATGCGGTCCGAGTGGATGGTGTCGAAGGACCGCGCCGCTTCGCCAGTGCATCGCCGATGTAGCGGCGATGCACCGCCGACGTCGGCAACGCATCGGCGACGTCGGCGTGGAGAACATCGGGCTCCGCGTCGAGCCGCATCGTCGATGCATCGGCGATGCGGCGCGATCGTCCGACCCGATCTGCTCCGACCCCACCCGGAAGGCCTAAGGTTAGGTCGGGCCTGTCCCCCTACAAGGGGGATTTTCAAAGAAAAAGTAAACATAGTCCAGAAATATTATAAAAATGCAAAATAATAAACAAAAATCATCCACAGACTATGTTTTGACTATTTTAGAGTATTCCTCCTGTAGAGGGACGTGCCCGACTTTGGCCTGGAGCTGGGGAACAGCCCCGAACGTCGATGCTCCGGCACTGGGCCATGCCCCCCGGAGTCGTGCCGAGGCGTGCTGGGGCAGACCCGGCGGCGCGAAACGCGGCGCAGCCGCTCCGGACCGCGAACGGGACTTGGGAGCACCGGGACGGGCCAAGGCGGGCAGCGCAAACTGGGGCTCTTACGGCCGCGCGTGCGGACCTGATCTCGAGGTTCTCACCCGACGCAGCCGCTCCGGACCGCGAACGGGACTTGGGAGCACCGGGACGGGCCGAGGCGGGCAGCGCAAACCGGGCTCTTACGGCCGTGCGTGCGGACAGGATCTCGAGATGCTCCCCCGACGCCCTGCAGTTTCCCAGGCGCACCGGGAGCGCGTCGCGTGAGAGCCGCCCGCGAAGTGCATCCTCGGATAATTAGCGCACGACCCTGCGCCCCCGCTGATGGCAGGGTGGGAACGACACATTTGTTTGATCCGCGGGTCGAGAGCGCACCTCTTCCGGTCGAAGCTAAGCGGGCCGCGCGAAGCTTGAATTCACCAGAGATGGGGGAGTGGAACTGATACATATCGGGGCTCCGAGAGGGTAATACACTTTCCCAGGCAGATCGCAACAGAAAGGAAGAAGAGGAGGAGAAGGACGAGGAGGAGGAGGAGGAGGAGGAGGAGGAGGAGGTGGAGCGAACGGAGTCTTTCAGAATGTACGGATGCACGGAGTGACTGCTGGAACATCGAGGCCATGCTCGCTCTTGCGGGGCCTCCCTGGAAGAATGGGAGGAGTGGGGATCCTGAGAAATCCGATGTTATCGCGATAACGTGCCCGCTCAGGCGGGCCCTCCCTGGAGGGGTGGGAGGAGCATAAATCCTGAGAAATGTTATGGTATAGCGATACAGATGATGATGATCATTATGGTACCGGTGATGGTGATAATGATGACGACGATGTTGCCAATGATGTTCATCATCATCATCATCATCATCATCATCATCATCATCATCATCATCATCATCATCATCATCATCATCATCATCATCTTCATCATCATCATCATCATGATGACGATGGCGGTGATGTTAATCATGATTATGATGATGATTGATGAGGATGATGCTGCTGTTGGTGATGGATATAGTTGATAATCGTGGTGAGAAGATTATATACACGATTCATGTTTCCCCCGGCGATACGGAGGCGCGGCTCCGCCGCCGCCCCACCGCCGACCAGACTTGCTGATTATCTCGAGCACAGGTTTACTTGTTCAGCAAGCTTGGCCTCCGGGAGAGCGCCATGCCAGCTGCCGATCGCTCCTGGCAGGCATGGCCCCGTCCCGCTCAGAGCTCTGGCAGCCGGAAGGTGCCCTGCGCGCGTGTCGGCACTGCGGGGGCCGGGCCTGGCAATTACGAAACAGCTTTCAGGGCCCCCGCAGCGCCGCGCCTACCTCTTCGTCCTGCTCCTCCTCCTCCTCCTCCTCATCCTCCTCCTCCTCCTCTTCCTCCTCGTCCTGCTCTTTCTCCTCCTCCTCCTCCTCCTCCTCGTCCTCCTCCTCCTCCTCCTCCTCCTCCTCCTCCTCCTCCTCCTCCTCCTCCTCCTCCTCATCATCATCATCATCATCATCATCATCATCATCATCATCATCATCATCATCATCATCATCATCCTCACGCACGCGCAGGAGCGCGCGAGGAGAAGGGAGGGGGGAAAGAGGAAGAGGAGGAGCATGAGGGGAAAAAGGGAGGAGGGAGGAAGAGGAGGCAGGACGGAGGAGGAAGACGAGGAGGGGCAGGAGGAAGGAGGAGGAGGATGAGGAGGGGCAGGAGGAAAGGAGGAGGCTGTCCTCCTCCCCCTTTCCATCCCTGGGGCGCCCCCCTCCCGCGCAAGCAGGGGCGCGCACGGGGGAGGGACGAGGCGGGGGGAGGGTCGGGAGGACGGAAGGGAGTCCAGGCGGAGGACCGCGCTGGCCTGCGCCTCGACGAGATGCACGCCCGCCTGCCCGCCAACTAGACATGGAAGTCCACTTCAACCCTCAAGTGAGGCTCCGACCCTCCTCCTCCCTCCTCCTCCTCCCTCCCTCTGTCTCTCCGCCCCTCTCTCCTCCCTCCCCCCTCCGTCCCTCCTCCCTCCCTCCCTCCCTCCCCTCCCTCGTCCCTGCATCCCTCTCTTCATCCCTCCCACCTCCTCCTTCTCCCTCCTCCCTCCCTCATCCTCCCTCCCTCCTCACCCCTGCCTCCTCCCTCCCTCTCTTCGCCCGCCCCCCCCCCCAAGAAGAGGCAGCCGCAAGACCACTCCCGCCCCGATGTCGGGCTCGCGGTCCGCCTCGGGGCCCGCGCTGATCTTCAGCCACCAGACCTCCGGCCAAGGGCGAGGACGCAAGCCAGCCAGGTCCACGAGGAGGAGGGGATGGAGGAGGAGGAGGACGAGGAAGAGGGGGTAGGCGGGATGAGGATGACCTCCTCAAGTTCCTCCTTCTCTTCCTCCTCCTCCTCCTCCTCCTCCTCCTCCTCCTCCTCCCCCTCCCCCTCCCCCTCGTCCTCCTCCCCCTCTTCGTCCTCCTCCCCGCTCCCTCCCTCCCTCCCTATCCCTCCCCCCTTCCCCTGAAACCCTGGAGCTCTTCAAGGATAGGTCGTGCTAGCACAGGCTACCCGCACCAGACGGCCGCCGAGAGATTACGACGGACTCGCTGGAACATCCATCGCCTCTGATGGGGGTTCTGTCCCCCGTTATCCGTGCTCCCTCCCCCTGGAGGCCCAGCGGGGCCCCCCGTTGCAGTCCAACAGATTGCAGCATACATACTCTCACAAAAAAGAAAATGGGGCTCCACTACTGCAGGTCCGTGCCGTGTCGACCCTGGCATTGGTTTCTGACACCGCGCTGGATCGTTCAACCTTGAACGATCGGCCGTCTCCGCAACGTCCGATCGTTCAACATCGACCGATTCTGGGCCGCCGTCGGCGTTCAACGTTGAACGTCGGCGGCGGGGTCGCCGCCGGTCGACACGACGCGAACCTACCGTACCCTCCCCCACTCGGGGTTGCAGACCCCCCGGGAACCGCTGTAATTCACACAGGATTCTGACCCAGTGTCCATCCTACCTGTGAATTCGTACAATCCCAGCCGAACCAGTATCGGTTCCCCCCCGCCAACCTCTGCAACAAAAAAGATGCGCGCACACCCGTTGATCAAGAACCAGCAGTTGTCCATAACCCCCTTGCAACAAATAGGCCGAAGTGGAGCATGTCGAAATCTTTCGAAAGCCCTTGCGCGCGTGCCGTCGCGAGAATCCTCTGCAATAGATTTGACGAAGTGCGCACGCGCGCGTCGTCGCGCGCGCATGCCGAAATCCTTCAAAAAACATTGGGTGTCGGAAGGATTTCAAAATCGAGTTCCCAAAAAATACATTCAAAGGCACGTGGTTTCGCAACGCGGATTTTCTAATAAAGCGAGCGCGCGCGCTCTTGCGTCGGCGTTGTCGCCGTCCTCCCTCCTCCTTCGTTGTCGTCGTCGTCGCCGTCGTCGTCCTCTGCCTTCCCTCGTCGTCGTCGTCATCGTGGCGTCGTCGTCGTTCCCGTCGTCGTTGTCGCCGTGGTCGTCCTTCCTCCCTCGTCGTCTTCGTCAGCGTTTCGTCGTTGTCCCTCCTATGTCATCGCCGTCGTCGTCGTCGTCGACGTCGCCTTCCCTACTCCCTCGTCGTTGTCGTCGTCGGCGTCGCAGTCCTCCCTCCTTCTTCGTCGTTCGCGTCGTCGGCGTCCTCCTCCGCTCCCACCGCCCTGCGCCAGACAGTCGAGACGGCGGCGCGCCCCGAGGAGCAGGAGTACTCCCACCAACGCCATGAGCTGAGCACGTTCAGCGTCTCAGGGGCCGACGGGGAGCAGGATCTCCAAAACCGCTGTGGCGCCTTCATGGGCGACGCCCCCACGGCGCTGTTCTTCGCGCGGACCTTCCGCGAGCCCGTCGCGGCATGGCTTCTACGGCTTCGCGCTGCCGCCTGGGCGACCTACGAGCTGCCCGAGACTCCGACGACCTACTCGGAGCGGAAAGCCCCGCCACTCCTTCCGCCCACCCCGCGCGCGGACATCGACGCCACGACCTGGCCGAGCGAGGCCCTATGCACGGCGTGGTTCCCGCTACTGGACGCTGCGGTACCTTTGGGCACTCGGACCTACGCCGACGACACCAACTACGCGATCATCGTAGTTTCGGCGCGGAACGCTGGCTACGTGTCCCGCCACTCCCACTACGAGCTGAAGCGTGCCCTGGAGCCCTACGGATACACGCGCAACCCGTCCAAGGGATCGGTGTCGCCCTGCTTCCTGGGCCGCGGCTCCAATAACGAGGTGCACCAGCTGTTCAGCGGCGCTGAGGCCATCGCGGGAGCGGTGCAGCACGACGACGCGGCTCTCGGCATCCAGACATCTACCACGGGCAGCGCGCAGACTGAGCTTCGGCGCAGGCTGCAGCCTGCCCGCAGGGGATACTACAG